AGAGTTAGCCCTGGAACATGTATGGATAGAGTTAGCCCTGGAACATGTATGGGTAGTGTCAGCCCTGGAACATGTATATGATCCCTTTTTATTAGAAATAATTAAATTATTACAGTTTGTGATGAGACGAGTCCAGAATTAATGACAGATGATCTTTATTCTTTTATTATATTTCTTCATGTAATTAATAAAATAAATCCTGTTTAATAAAATCATGTGGAGCTGCTACAAAGCTCCGCCCATTTGTACCTAGGTCCTCCCTGAAGCTCAGTCTGCAGCGGAGCTCCGCCCCACAGAGCACCTGAAGTGTTAATGTTTAGGTTAAATGTTTGACAGGTGTTTTGTAGAGGGGGCGGGGTCAAACCGTGGACCTGGTTCTGGCTTCAGACCAGACTGGGTCCTCTGACCTCTGACCTGTTCTCTCTTTTAGCTCCGCCTCTCTCCAGCCCTGAGCTCCTGTCAGAGTTGAGGAGCAGCAGGACACGCCCCCTCAGACACGTTCCCGCCAAAACCAGTCTGACCAGGGTCTTCTCTGGACGAGGACGCCAGGTGAGCCTGAGCCCAGAGGTCAGAGGTCACACAGGTCTTTCTGTTCCGTTTACCTCTGCTCTTCTTCTGCTCCTCCAGAGCTCAGGCTCCTCCCCCTCCACCTGACCAGCCAATCAGAGGCCTGCTTCACCTGTCACTCTCCACAGAMGGATTCTACCTCCACGTCTGCTGAAACTGGACCAGTTGTAGCAGGAAGTGTCAGCTGACTGAGCCCCGCCCCCTCATCAAGCTCCGCCCCTCTTTTGTTCTGAGTTTTAACAGCTTCTAATCAAGAAACTCCTTTAAAACAAGAAATATTTAAAACACATGAAATAAAGTTTAAAATAAAACTTGGTTTTGGTTTATTTAAAGACCTACCTGGTCTCATCCAGTCCTGGACCTGAGTCAAAGACCTCTTCCAGCTCTCAGACACAGAGCTGTAAGGACTGAAATATTTTACTAACAGCTGTGGTCACAGTCTGAACGACACAGTTTAAAAAGGTTTTATTCTCAGTCTGTTGATCAGTTTTGTCTCACTTTGTTCAGATGTTAATGATCTGACGTGTGTTTGATCATTTTTATAACACGTTATAAAATGAAGAACTTAAACTGGTCATGACTTTWAACGTTTTCCTCCCACTGATGACAGCCGGAGAGTTTCTGCTGTCACATGTCAGGTCTGAATGTTTTCCCACSCTGCTCACAGCGGTGTGGTCTCACCTCTGACTGAAGCTGGGGGTCTGCTGTGTGGACCACCTGCTGAAACTCCCACAGCCCTCCCAGCTGTACGGTCTCTCCTGTGGGACCTGTGAGGGCTGTGATGATCCAGAACCTGTCTGGTCCTCAGGTCGGTCCCACGCTGCTCACAGCTGTAGGGTCTCTCCTGTGGGACCTGTGAGGGCTGTGATGATCCAGAACCTGTCTGGTCCTCAGGTCGGTCCCACGCTGCTCACAGCTGTAGGGT